GATCTATGTGAGAAATTGTCTGGCAGATATGATATTTTAATTCTACAAAGAACAGAGCATTTGCATTTATGGGTTTCTTTCTCTTCTAATGAGACATCACATGATTACTTTTGACAAAGAAATGAGTGAGGGTAGCAGTTGGGAATTATGAATTGTATGATACCCAGGTTCAGTTTAAACAGAAGAGTCTAAGGATAGTAAGAAAGCTACTTCAGATTATATGTTGATATTCAGATATATGAAAGATTATTCTCTATATACCAACTCTGCATTACATGGATTTAGAACCTTTGAATATTGATAAATTTTAAGTGATTTTTCTATTTATTATCATTCTAGAACATTTATTTCAAAAACTGGAGGAAGAGGAATAGTTTTTTCTTTTAACAAGCTTTTAGCGTATTGCTACCAAAATAATCTTAAAGGAATGTTATTAGTAGTTTGAACCAATTTCTCACTGTGCATTTAAGCATATTTTTATTAACATGATTTTATAAGAATATGGAGGAATTCAAATGAAACCAATTCTAATTATCAACAAAAGGTCCTTCCCCTTACTGATATGTATATAATTAAATTCAGCACTGCACTGAGTTCCTAGACTGGCCAAAAAACAAACTAGTAACACAAATAAAACAACATATTAGGCAGGATGTCTGAAATACTGTGGGAGTCCAGGGGAAGGAGAGATTAATCCTGACTAGAAAGATTGGATATTCTCACTAAGAAATGGTATTTGATAGGAATCTTGAAAGGTTAGTAGGACTTTATGTTGTAGATATTGGAATAAATATTGTTCCAGTAAAAAAAAAAAAGAATCCTGAGATACAAGAACACATAAGGGAGAACTTATCAAGGAAACCGAAAAGCAGGTGAGCTTTTCCATGGGTAATGTGGGATTTGGAGTATGACAGTAATTTATATCTTCTGTATATACTAGTTGCGAAGAAGGTGCTTTATAGGCATGACCACATTTAGTCTTCATTTCAACCTTGTAATTTAGGTACTATCATTAGCTGTCATTTACTGGACAGCTAATGGCCTCGAGGGTTTAAGCTGCATCCCTGAGGTCATAGCTAGTTAGTGGCAGAGTTTGACTAAACTCAGTTTTGCTTAAGTTTAGAGCCAGTACTGACTCTTTTGGAGGTGCACTTTAGAAATTGAAAATTTGAGCTGAGGTCATATTCTCAGACTGATTGTATCCTTATTACAGTAAACTATATTACCATATTCTTCATCATATATACTTCTCAAAGTATTCTTATGAGCTGGGATTGCAGTGAAAATGAGTTACAGAGACATGACACTCAGAGAACACAAAGTCAGTAGCCAGATGAAAATGTCCTAGGGTGCATTTTACTGCTAGGCAACAAGAGTTGCAATTTGCCTTTCCTTATGTACCTGCTATGTTTGTATCACCCCATTAGTGCCCTTCACATTGGTATACAATGTTAAATATTTGTTTAGTAAACATAAGTGTAAGAGGCATGTTATTTGTTCTCCCAGAATTGCTTTCTTGAAGAAATCATTTTTAGCCTGCCCTTGTGGTCAGGAGGGACCATCAGTCTTAGTGCTCTAACTCTATTTTTCTCCTAGAGAGTCCCATGACCTGGACTAAATGAATAAAGTGCTGTATTTCTCTGGACACAATAATTGATCCAGAAGAGGCATATCATCCAAAGAGGGCTGATAGGACAATGTTTCTGCTATCAGTTCCTGCATACTGAAAAAAATGTGTTTAAACTGAGATGGATTATTTCAGAGCATGTGAGTCTTTGGCTGCTGGTATACATTTTGCTTAACACTTGGATTGGCATGAATGTAGAATGAGGTTAAGCAGAAATGAAAATTGCTGAGAAGTGGAGAGGGAAAAGGGCCCCAATAATACTGTCTAAACTCCTGGATTGACTCATGCATGCTTTTAAAAAGCATTTGTTGAGCACCTACATTACTCTAGACACAGTTGGGGGATCTAAGTGTACAGCAATGAACAGAAAATTTTTCTGCTCTTAGGAAAGAGACACGAATCCATCCATCATCCATCCATCCATCCAAAGTCAAGTGGTTATAAGAACACACAAAAGGGGAGCCTGGGTGGCTTAGTCGTTAAGTGTCTGCCTTCGGCTCAGGTCATGATCTCAGGGTCCTGGGATTGAGCCTCGCATCGGGTTCCCTGCTTAGCAGGAAGCCTGCTTCTCCTTCTCCCACTCCCCCTGCTTGTGTTGCCTCTCTTGTTGTGTCTCTCTCTCTGTCAAATAAATAAATAAAATCTTTAAAAAAAAAAAAGAACATACAAAAAATATGTAACAAGGAGCAAGAGAGATTTTTTATTTAAGAAAGGATGATCAAGGGAAGCAATACTGCAAAGGTGAAATTAGGGCAGAATTTCAATGAAGGGAGGAAGAATGTCATTTATATAATCTGGAAGAAGAGATCTTGGCAGAGGAAACAGTGGTTTCAGAGGTCCTGAGGTAGAGCAAGGTATTCTGTGCGGCTGAAGCAAAAAGAGGGAGATGGTGGGAGATGAGGAAGAGGGGAGGCAAGACTATGGAGGGCTTGTAGGCTCATTATTTTATTCTGAATGACATGGAAGACATTTAGATGATTTGGTCAAAGGTGTTAAAAAATCTGAATATACTGAAAAACAAAACCAGCAATTTGCCACACCACTATTCAGGCAGACAAGCAAAGGGTTTTAAGCTATAGTGAATGATCAGCCATGACCAATGGTGCTAATAGGTAACACAGTATAAACCCTAAAATTTGACTGTTGGTTTGCAATGTGAAAGTCATTTGTGGCCTTGATAGAGTGATATATGTAAAGTAATGGAGATGAATGCTCAAGAGTGAATGAAAGAGAAGACTTAAGACAGTACCATCTCAGGATTTTCAAGTTAAGAAAAGATTCCTTTATAGTGAAGCTATTTGGAATTAGGTTTCTGTCTTGTGAGAGGCCAAGAGGCCCAGTTAATTTTTAAAGAAAGGCATCAGGCTGATTTCTGTTGTAACAGTTATAAACTACAATGCTTCAAGCTCTTAGAAAAAAACAAAAACAAAAACACCTCTCTACAGGACTACAACATAGGAAAAGCTCTGCTCAAAGAAAGAATTTCTTTTTCATCAAAATTCCTTGTCCTGATTACTGGTACAATTATTAAAAGCTATGCAATTTGATATTTGAATAATTTGTCCCTAATATAGATCTTATTAATGCTATATTACAGACCTCTCAGATTTGTAAAAATCTTTTGTGTTTAGTTCAGTAATATGTGGTTTAGCTTCTGCAATTCTGCGTGTAGTAAGCTAATCACTGACTGAAAATATGCATAACTTTGTTTCATGCTATTTTATATTTCGCAGCAATATCCCTATTAACATCTGTCAAGAAAGTTGCTATGGAAACTGAAGTATAACACACCATATTATACATACAGATTTAACATTTTGCTTTATATCCTTTCTAGTGGAGGTTTTGTGCATATGTTCAGTTTCACGTTACTCTGTATTTTAATGTCTTAATTTTCTTTTCAATAAAAGCAGAAGTTATTTGATATAGTAGCACTCCACTGTCATACAGAGGGAATTTCTTTAAGCTTTGTTTAGGTTGTGCTGTATAAGACTGTTACAGTTTGGAGGGAGAGTCTCCGGCTGGCTTTAAAGAAGCAGTTGCAGTACTGTGACAGGGCTGTGTTGCTAGGACCTGAGAGTTAGGTCTAAAAGCTGAGAGCAGTCCTCAGGAACTTCAGTCCTACAACTGCAAAAGAATGAATTCTACCAAGAACCGGAATGCGCTTGGCAGGGGACCCTGAGCCCCAGATAGAATACAGCCTAAGCCCATATCTTGTTCGCATCTTTGTTAGACACTGAGCAGAAACCCAGCTCACAGGATGTGTGGACTTCTGACCTGCAGATACTGTGAGACAGTAAGTGGGTAAGGTGTTAAGGCACCAAATTTGAATTTGTTATGCAGCAATAAAAAACTGGTATGATCTGACTTCCTCTCCTATATTCCTTTCACTTCTCTTCTGCCATGGATGTGATAATAGTAGCCGGAGGCTTTACACGATGAATCTCAAAAGGGGTCATCAAGACTAATTGTAATGGAAATGGGGCAACCCGAGGCTGACTTCTGATGGCAAAGCAACCATCTAGAAGTGCTGCTTACCTGTGCCAGGTGTATACTTACACTTGTGTGTTTTCTTATTTTGGACATGGGTCTTAAAAATTCCTAGAACAGTTTTTTATTCCCAAGAATGCCTCCTGAAAATGTAACATTCCTTATAAATGAAAGATTTGGTAAAATGAACTATTTGCCTTCACTTAAACAACTCCCTAATACATTTGCATATTTTCTTGACCATATGTTTTATCATGTTTGTTTCTGAAACTGGGGTACAATGCCGAAATCGATGTCAAAAGAAACTTGCTTCCTGAAGGCAGAGGACTGAGTTGTTTTGTAGCTGTCTGTGCCTGCACATGTGTGAACTTAGCCTTGTAGGAATTTATATAATTGTCAGTTCATTTGACTTATTCACATCATGATCACACAAGCCACTGCCTTATAAATGAACTATGTATCCTTCATTGTTGCTTAACATGGCTTCATAAAGTCAGTGTTTTGAAGCAACACTGATGTGAAGAGTTTTTGTCTATGTGGGAAGGTTACTTGTCATGGGCAATAACTTTAGCTCACTCTGTGTGGCCAGAATGTAGAGCCATGTCTCGTATTAACTGTGGAGTTGTATCTTTGTGTCTTGAGGCAGAGTTAGGTTTTGTGTCATAGCATAAGGCAAAAGTTACATGTTGATAATATTACCTTTGAAGGTTTACTTAAACCAGTCCCTGTTAGATCAGATTGATGTTACTAAGGTTGAGTAATAGTTAACTAGTTGTAAGGTGAACTCATTCTAAATTCCTGCTTTAACCATGCTTTGTGTGACTACATTTGTTTTATCACCTTAACTATGCTTTGTATGACCATACATTTTATCATCTCACCTCAGATAACCGACCAATTCTTCATTATAAATGGATTTCTGTATGCACAAAATCAAAGTAAGTTATAAAGGTTAAAAATAAAATATGAAAAAATTTATATCAAATAAATGCAATGAAGATGATGCTTTAGGTCTCAGTATTGGTATCAGATGAGAAAAAAAGGAAAAGCATAAAAGTGAGCAAAGTGGCTTTTTTTTTTTAGTAGGTGAGGATATCGAACAAAATGAAGTTTTAACAAAATAAAATCTTTACAAAGCAAGTAGAACATCAACATTGATTAAAGAAAAAGGATTATAACTCAAGGAGAAAATGAAAAAGAAATAACCACAATTGTTGAAGACTTTACTGTAACACTGTCTTTTTAAATGCAACTAAGTAAAAGAAAAAAGAATAGACCATCTAAGTAATATAATCAATCACATTATTTTAAACATTTCTATATGTCAAATTCAGAAACTATAAAGAGGGGCTAAGTCTTAAATACTATTTATATCATTTGGTGGTTCAGTTGTAGGAAATAGAGATCACTCTAGCTATTTTAAGCATAAGACATCTGACACAGATAACTTAGTTCGTACAAAATGGTTGGGAAGGCTGGAGAAGTAGGCTGTGAGATGATCCCCAGGGATGATTCCCAGAATGACACTGCCAACTAGGCTTTCGAGGTTGCAGCTACCTTTGCTATAATCAGAAATGTGGATAATCAGGTGAACACCACCTGAACTGTCAAATTGAAGAATACACCACTGGAGTTGTGATCCAAGCATCAGGAAACTGTTGCTGATACCTCCACTTCAAGTGCTTTTGAAGTTAGCGACTGGGTACTGGAGTGGTGCCATCTTTGTCCTCATTTGCCAGTAGCAAGAGGAGAAACAAGGAGTGTTCCCCTCTCTGCCACCCCTTGCCCAGGCAAACTGTCACCTTCCCAGTCTCAAGGGATGGGGTGGGGCATCTTTATTGTAACTAATTCACATCTCCATCCTGAATTGCCAGTTAACTTTGGAAATGTGGTTTTTAGTTTTCCAGCCTCTGTAGTACAAGATTCCTTAGAATGGATGCTGATTACCAAATTCCCACATCCATGAGACAAACTGAAACTTTTCAAATAATGGGTATATATTTGGATGTAAATAATGTATTTTTTAATGTTAAAAAACTGAGTTAAGCAAATCATAGTCTCAGACCATGAATTAATAAAACTAGTAATCAGTAATATTATATGTGTGTATATGTATATGTATAATAATATGTATATGTAAACAAATAAAAACAAAGACTGGAATTAGAAATTATCCTACACAATTGTTGGATCAAGTATGGAATTGAATCTGCAGGATCCTTATAAAACAATGATAATCAAATAACATTTTCAGAATGAGGCCAAAGGTATAGTTAAATATATAGTATCAAATGCTTTCATTCTTATAAGTTCTGAATTCCTGATCTTCTCCCTGAAACCAGCTACTCCTAATAACTCTGCCTGTAAATTAAGGAGTGAGATAGTTTTTATATATCAAAATTTCAGTTTTAAGAAACTGTAATTCTCAGGGTCATCAAGGGTAGAGTGGCAGTGATATATTATACACTCTTAGAAAAATTAGAAGTTGGTACAAAATTTTTAAAGGGTAATTTGATAATGTATATCAATAGTCTTTAAAGTACGAATAAACTTTAATGTAGCATTTCCATTTTGGAAACGTTATCCCAGGAAAGTAATGAGAAGTATACACAAAGAACACAGAATAGGTTATTGAATATAGAACTGTTTAGCAAAAATTTCCAGTTTTAGCAATGGTTAGATAAAACATGGTACAACTTTAATTCAATGTCCTATAACTATTATAAAGTGGGAAAATATTTAATGATGGGAAAATGTTCACTAAGTATTATTTGGTGAAGATAAGTTTACAAAATAACATGTACAACATGATCTAAATTTCTCACTCTATATATCTATATATAGAAAATAATACTGGAAAGCTAAATGCAAATATATTAACAATTTTTATATAGTGGTTGATGTATCAGTCTCAGATAGGTCACATTATGGTTTGGAAACAAAAGTACTAAAATCCCAGTGGCTTAATACACAACAGTTTATTTATTTGTTCTCTCAAGGTCTGCTGAGGGTACAGGCAACTTTCCAGGGCAGCTGTCTTCCATGTGGGAGCTCAGAACCTCAGGCTAGTTCAATCATGTGGCATGTCCATAAGTTCTTCCATGATTGCTGTGGCAGTGAAGAAAGAGTAGTCTGCACAGTCCTACAGGTACTTTTCTCCTTGGAATTCATATTTCACCCATATACAAGTATGAATGATGAACAACCTAAGTGTCTCAACCTAGAATCCAAAACTTCACTCACCCCAAAGGGTTGAGTATTTCAAATCATTCTAGTGCCTAAAAATTAGCTTCCAATTCATTTCATTCTTTGGAAATAAGGTGCTGGCTAATCTTGAATGTGCCATGGACTCCACCAGAATCTCAATTACCCTAGGTAAAATGAGAAAGAAATATTTATGTCAAAGCCTTGATAAAAATTCTCAAATATCTCATCAATAAATAACAGTAACTGAGATATAATACATAATTTATACTTGTCTCTTAGACTTCTTTGGACACTTTCTGCTTTTTCCTTTAGATAATGCTCATAAACGTTAAATACAATGGACTCTGGAGTGGTTTTATGGATGGAAATTATATTGTTTATTTCAAGTGACCTACCTTTATTTTCCCCACTGGCCGCCATTGTTTTGTATTTGTTGTTCTCATAAGTTTTCCAGGGATTTTATGCACTCTTTGAGGCAGCTTGTCTTGCCCAATATTGATTGGGGGCAGGATAATATTTTAATCATGTTCCTCATCTTGTGTATAACCTTGTGTTAGCCCCTCTACATCCTGGATCATGGCTTATTCTGATGTAAAGTGAAGTTGATTTTCATCTTAAAGGAGGGAACTTAACTTCTAAAGTGAACTTTAAGGACAGAATCATGCCCTTTTGTTAGAACTGGATTAACAGCAACTGGGCACCATAGTTAGAAAACCATTGTAGTTGGTATATAAACATAACAAATAATAGAAAATACACTGACATTGAGCAACATCCCAAATTACTTGATCTGCATTAGGAACAAATCTTAGATCTCTGCTTCAATTCCATCTTCAATGTAAGATTGATGTGGTGCAGCAGAGATTTTTAAAATGTGCTGTGCAACTCACTGTCAGTTAAAGTACTCATGCATGTATGTTACATACAAGTGACTTATTCAGAACAAGTCAGATGGGATAAATGATGGAAAAGGAAAAAAAGACAAAAATTTTGAAAAGAAAATTGTATTTAGTATTAGATGTATAAGATATATGTGATTTCTTGATTCCTTCTGCATGTGGTTATAATCAAATCCAACTTTTCCTATTTCACATACAAAATGAAGTTGGGAATTGGGCTGGGAAGGGAATTTCAATTGGTTTTGACAGATTGGAGTAATTTTCAACATGGCTTTGTGATAGTGGTTTTGCTTGGCTAATACATATTTTTCAATTTTGTCAATTGAGACAGAAACCCCAAACATTATAAAAGTGTTTGAATACTGGTTGTTTTTTGCCAGGAAGGCACATTGACTTTGGTGTACAATGTTAAGATCATGAATTTTGCTAAATACAATTGCAAACACATGTTCCATTGCAAAGCAGGCAATGAAGAACAAATTAAAAATAAACAACACAGAAATGGGTTTCACTAAGAAACACTGAATAACACCAAGGGTGTTTTTAAAAATTAAAATTGTACAACTATTGCAACTACTTTTTACATTGCTAAGATATTAAAGAACCATATTGGTTGTGCTGTTTCTTTCTATTTTTTAATAATTGAATCAAAGATATTGAGTCATGAAAACTAGTGTCTTAAAAATTCAGCTCTTTCTTTATTAGTGAGGACATTTTAAATACACAAGAAACTAATTTTGGGACAATTAAAATTTAATGTAATTATTAATAATAGTCTTTTCTGAAAATTTCTTTTGGTCAGATCAGAATAGTATGGATTTTGGACAAAGACCATTACAAGACTCAAAGGAAAAAAGCATAATTACAATGTGATCTCTAAAATAATGTATAAATAGAATAATTCTGAATGGCAAAATAGGTGACATTTTAAAATTTCATAAGTGGAGTTATACTTTATTCTCTACCCATCATTTCATCACGTTTCTCTTTTCTTTGAAATAGTGCAAAGATATCCTATCATACTAAAATATGGAATCATTATTTATGGAATCCTTAAGAATCTGTGGGCACCATGAGTCTTCCTAACTCCTAATTTAGAATTTCAAATCTTCTAGCTTCCTAATCTTTCAATTTGCTCAGATAATTTTCTACCATTACTGCAATAGTACTTTCCCAAAATCATTCTTGTGAGACCAACTGATGGTTAAAGTCCAAACTCAGAACTCCAAGGATTTACCATTACCCTTTTTCTCAACTAATAAATAATAGAAAGAATTTAGTTTATTTATTCCTTCATCCATTCAATTTAAGTCTTTCTTTGAGGTGCATGTACTTGTCTATGCTTCTCTTACTTTTGTCTTGGCAATGTAGTCTGTCTTAAATCATAAGTTCCTATAGGACAGGGACATGCCTATTTAATTTGCTTTTAACACAGCTAACCCAATGCAATAAAAATATGTGAACTTAACACATGATTCTTGATGATGATGGTGATTATGATAATTTATGTTGTTTCTCTTTTGCTTCTCAGTGGCACTTACTCGTAATTCACTCTTGCTGACAGCTAAGTTTTGTGTATTTTTTGTGTACATTTTCATATTTCTTTCAGCAAAAATATTATATAAAGACATAATGCATAAAATTTAACTGCAATATTCCTTTAACTTTATCCTACTCCTCTGGCTCTTTTCCATTTATCTGGCAGAATTATACATGAGGCCAAATCTTTGAATTCTTTGCAATTTTCTCTTTGGATTTACAGCACAAGTCTGTTGATTATTCCGTATCAGTCACTATTAATATAAGGCAAACATTAAAGAAATGGGAAAGGGGCAGTTAAAAGAAATATGCTGCAGAACAATGCATGGTATTTCTCTTCCCACATTCTAATGTAATTCATCATGGCCAAAACTTTACCAATCTGCTGGGTTCCCAGAGAATTATGAGCATTTTTTTCTTTTCTGAGATTTTTCTCTTTTTTTGCACACTCAAGAAACTACAAGCTATCCTTATTTTTCCTCAAAGAGAAGACCAACTATACTTGAGAAAATAACTTACAGAGAGTCACATTTCAATATAAATAACTACTAATAAACCCATTTGATAACATCAAGTTTTCTCATTGGAAAATCATGCCAATACTGTTTATTAGTTGGCATCTGTAGGTTCTCCTACATTGTTTTATATGGTTATCCCTAAAAAGATTTGAATTTTTAAAAGCCAATATCATGTTATATACATCTTTTATACATCTACTTTACTATCTTGTATAGTTCTGGAATATAATGGATTCCAATAATATTAAAAGTTACATTTATTAAAATTAATTAATTAATTAATTAATTAGACAGAGAGAGAGAGAGAGAGGGAGAGAGGGCACACAAGCAGGGGGAGTGGGAGAGGGAGAAGCAGACTTCCTGCTGAGCGGGGAGCCCAATGCGGGGCTCCATGAGGGGCTCGAGTCCAGGACCCTGGGGTTATGACCTGAGCTGAAGGCAGACATGTAACAACTGAGCCATCCAGGTGCCCGCAAAATTACATCTTAAACAGAGTTATTATTATTAGTTAGTATGGTATGCTTATATGTTAGCTTATGGAGTTAACCCCAGGTCTCAAACAAAAGTTAAATTATAAATTCCTAGAGAGAAAACCCCTTAGGTCATGGATCTTTACTTGCATATTTCTTACATCAGTAATAGATCTCAGGGAATTCACTCTTCTATCTTTCCCTACCTCAATGTCATTTTCTGTATTCTTTCACTATTGAAATACCATGGGAACTCAACTTTGCATAGATCTACTGCATAATATCCTCTCCTGTGTGAAACAAAGGAGGTAAGTATGTTAAGGAGCTTTTAGCAGGTGAAACAGGTGTGGCAAAATCCATGCATTTAATTCATAGAAGAACACTACCAACATTCACTCAGATCTTATTTATTCATTGTTTGTACAATATAAAACATTATATCTGCCATAAATACAAACTAGGGGAAGTGTATACATGCTCTGAAAACAGAGGTGAGGCAGGCCTATCAGCTTTGTATCAAAAGAAGATACTAAAAACGAATCTATATAAAACAGGTATAATTCAAAAGGCAGTGTGGTCTTTGTTCATTTTGTATAGGTATAAACAGCCTGTAACTTTCAATAGTTCCCCAGGTAGCACAGTGGTACATCATAGCTAAATAATTGAAATTTTAATACTGGCTTTGAGTCTTCAAGAATAGGTTAAATAATTATAATTTATATTTCTTTAGTGATGTTTGGGGTACTTTTCCAGACACACATGACCATCTTTGAGGTCAAAGCATTCATGAAATTTGACACAAAAACACTTAAAACAAATACAAGTGATAACAAAACAACTGAAGAAATCTAAGTGTGTTCCAATGATGGAGATTTACTGAAAGATGGTCCATCAACCCAATAGACTATTATATAGTCATTTAAATGATAATTATGAGAACTACATAAAATATATAGTAATGTTAACACTGTTAAGTAAAAAAGTGATCATGGGGTTATACAGATATCTCATATTGTAAACAATATGTATTTTTAAAGATTTATTTATTTATTAAAGAGAGAGAAAGAGAGCGGGAGCCAGGGGGAGGGGCGGAAGGAGAGGGAGAGGATCCTAGCAGACTCCCCACTAGCACCAGGCCTGACACGGGGATTGATCTTAAGACCCTGAGATCATGACTGGAGCCATATAAAGAGTTGGACTCCCAACTGACTGAGCCACCCAGGCACTACTATCAATACTCTTAAAAAACATATTTGTCAATAAAGATTGGGATGAAACAACAGAAATGGAAAGGCAATGGCAGATCATAGAGGCCAGGTACACAGACTTGGAGCCAGGTTTCCTGGGTTTGGTTCTCAGACTTGCCACTTTTTGTTTGCCTTGAGCAAATTATGAAACCCATGTGCTTCAATTTATTCATCTGATATACAAGAATAGATTCTCTTGTCCAGATGGCTATTATAAGAATTAAACTGATGGGGCTCCTGGGTGGCTCAATCGGTTAGGCGTCTGCCTTCGGCTCAGGTCATGATCCCAGAGTCCTGGGATCGAGCCCCATGTTGGGCTCCCTGCTCAGCAGGGAGCCTGCTTCTCCCTCTCTCACTCTCCCTAATTGTGTTCCTTCTCTCGCTGTGTGTCTCTCTCTCTCTCTGTCAAGTAAATAAATAAAATCTTTAAAAAAAAGGAATTAAACTGATATAGTGTATATATTATATGTGTTGATAAATCTAAAAAAGAAATAGTCATATTTATTAGTGAGATTAAAGGAGAATTTTGTGTTTTTTCTAGGTAAAATGAATTTTAGATTGCATCATGTGAGCTAACTCTAAAAAGTCAAGGGATTGCATAAATAATTTGGAAAGGATAGTGAGTAAAATGAAATTCTTTTGGATTATGGAAAGAATACAACTCAGCTATCTGGAAAACTCAACAAACAGGTAATTGTCTCAAACATCTGGATAGTCAAGACTTTACTATTCTTAATGACTTCACTCCTGTTTACAAATTTCCACCATGTTGTTCTCTAAATTTATTGTTAGTTATGTCATGTGTGTTTGGCCTTCACAGCCAAGTTGTATGTTTTTGTTTGTATAGGCTAATATTACTTAATATAATTTTCTTTTCACACAAATAGTGATAAATAACTAAGTCTTATTGGACTTTGATTTTTTTTCCACAGAAAGATATTTTTATAGGTCAAAACTAGGCTTCCCCATTGTGTATCCATGTGCTTCTTCGGTGACTATTTTGTTGCATTCTTATGTAATTTCTTCAAGTTCCTAGTCTTCCTTTTGAGGTCTTCCTTTAGTGTCTCTCAGAAGAGACTTTCTGAGATTTTTCAACAGTTCAGGTACAAGATTCCTTTAGGACTAATGCAGTCTGTGGAGGCTGGAGGCTCCCCTGTTGCCATTGTAATTGCCAGAAAATTCCGGATTAATGATAGTCTCTACTTTATACCTAAAATAAGCCCTCATAACTAACTTCGGTTATCTCCACCATCAACATCACCAATGTACCATAATGTTGGCTTCTACTGAGTGCTTGAGATATTTCAATCTACTTCAGGTAAAAGGTGTTGGCAACAGGAATGGATGAATCTCGGCCAAGGACACTTATTTCATGGGATGGTGACATTCTTTATTTGGTTGTTTTCTGTTAGGATATCTGTCTTCTTCCAGTGTGCCTGTGGAAAAACAGGCTCATGATTATTCTTGGGAGGGAATGATTCTGTCCTGAGCAAACTTGAGGTGGGTAAAGTAGAACCAGCTTTCCTTTGCTTGCCTTTTTTGGGTTAAATTCCCCATTATAAGAGGTACCATCTTGGCAGTTGCAGAAAGGCACATGGAAAGCTGGAACAGTGATTTTAGGCCTATGGCTTTACATATAGCTCCATGTAATTCAGCCTAACTCATCAGCTAATTTAGATTTCCATGTTGATATTTGGGATCAAAGACACCAGGTGATCATAAATCATTTTTTATTTTTTTTATTTTTTAAGGTTTTATTTATTTGAGAGAGAGTGAAAGATTGAAAGAACAAGTGGGAGGAGTGGCAGAGGGAGAAGTAGACTCCCCGCTGAGCAGGGAGTCAGACGTGGGGCTTGGTCCAAGGACCCTGAGATCATGACCTGGGCTGAAGGCAGATGCTTAACTGACTGAGCCACCCAGGTGCCCCTCTTTTATCTTTTTGGTTTGTTTATTTACATGTGTACAGACCCCATTCCACAGTGCATGTGCTTACTTCAAGCCATCAGAATTCCACGGGCTTGAGGTGAGGACTTTCACATAAAGTTGTGGTCAATGCTAAAATCAGAGAAATTAGATAAGTTAAATTTTGAGTGATGAGTCAATATGCCATTGGCCAATGAAGTGATTCTGAATGGGTAACCAAAAATAAAACACTAATAGATTTGTGGCCAAATTCTAGAAATAAGATTTGTAACAATAAGAGCATCAGGTTGAATTCCAGAAGACTGGCGCATTTGCTCGAGACAGAAATTTTTAACAGTTAGGGTTTAATGCTTGCTGAAGTATGGTAGATAAGTAAGTGAGTCTTCCACGTTTATAGGGCCATGGGAAGATGGGACACCATGATTCTTTACTTCTAGATAGGTTCTTCCAATTTCATGGATATTGTGTGTGTGTGTTTTGTGTGTGTATCTGTGTGAGTGAATGTGTGTTAATGGTGTTTTTGTGCACAAGATAGAAGTCTAGTTTTCCTTTAGAGCAAAAAGTATATACTTGGTATTTGCATTAATCTTTTATTTATTGATGTTACTTGAGTCCCATTTAGTAAATTCATTTTTGTTATATTTAATGATGTTTTGCAGTTTCCAAAAGCACTTACTCCCAAGAGACAGTTCACTGGAAAACAATCCTGACAAAGTCAGGAAAAAATATTTATGACTTTGTCTCAAATCTGTGGATTTTCATTTATAGTGGATATTTTATTATATTGAAATTATTCTACCTAAAACTGATTTATTTTAATATACAGGCTTATTCACCTTTTTCCTTATAGCAAGAGAATAAACCATAGATTAGTATGAGTCTTAAGAAGTGGCTGTTTGAATATTATATCTTCTCAATTAAAAAAAAAAAGTATACTTTCTTATATTTTCCATCTCTTTGTTGAAGTTCTTACTGTGTTCATTCATTCTTCTCCCCAGTTTGGTGAGCATCATTATGACCATTACATCGAACTCTTTATCAGGTAAAGTACTCATCTCCATTTCATTAAGGTTTCTTTCTGAGGTTGTATCTTGTTCTTTCATTTGTAACATATCCCTCTGTTTCTTTATTTTGCTTGAGTCTCTGTGTTCGTTTGTATACAGTAAATAAAACAACCACCTCTCCCAGTCTTTATTTTTTTTAAGATTTTATTTATTTATTCATGAGAGATAGAGAGAGAGAGAAGCAGAGGCAGAGAGAGAAGCAGGCTCCCCGTGGAGCAGGGAGCCCGATGCGGAACTCGATCCCAGGACCCTGGGATCATGACCTGAGCTGAAGGCAGACGCTTAACTGACTGAGCCACCCAGGCATCCCGCACCTCTCCCAGTCTTGAAGGTGTGGCCCCTTGTAGGAGATGAATCTTGTCCCTCAACCCTACCCCAACCCTTTGTCCTTTCTCAAATCTTTATGCTTGTCCAAGCAGCCCCTTGTATTTTTAATAGCTCCCAGTGGTTGAAGGTATGTCAAGACCTGTCAGTGTCCCTAAGGGGAAGATCATTGCATCTAGATTCAGGCTGTTGGAAAACTGATGCTCAGGCAGTAGTTTTTAAAAGTATGCAAATATATAGTCCAGTGGGACTGCAAGTGTAAGTCTTGCTGACCAGACAGTCTGATCATGTTCCCTAGGTGGCAGTCACAAAAAGTAGGCTCCAGATGAGTATATCAGCTCTTCTCTGGGAAATGTCAGTAAGCTGGAGCAAGGCAGAGGGATAGCTCCAAGATGTCATCTACAACCTCTGTTCCTTGTGAGCAGTTTTGTAGTCCACTAGATGTGGCCGAACCTGAAGCCTGTCCCCCAGAGCAAATCTCCAGAGGTCTCCTTCATAGAAAGATTGGAGGGTATGCCTCAGTCTGCCATCTGTACAGTGCTATGGGGATTACAGCCTGCCAAGAACCAACTCTCTAATTGCCACAGTCATGTGGGACCCAGGAATGCAAGCTGCCTTGACCACTAGAGCCAGATGATCAAGGAACATTTTCTCGGTGACAGCTGCAAAAACTGGGGCACCAGATACAAAAATCAGGGTGCCAACTATGTGTAAAACTTTCCTCCAAAAGACATTGGTGCCCTGGAGTGAGGCAGAGGGAAAGTGTGAAGATAGCACCTACCCTCTGAGATCTCTGAGGCCTCTAGATGTGTGCTTAATTAGAAGTCTACTCCTTAGGTTTCAGCCATGATGATTAGCTAATAGGCCTTCACAGAAAATTCAAGCTCTTGGTCTGTTTTATCCCTTGCTGTGCCTGAGTTTTGGGGGTAGTTGTAGCTGTTTAATAATTCTTTCTCTTTTTTATTTTGAAGATTTTTATTTATTTATTTGACAGAGAGAGACAGCGAGAGAGGGAACACAAGAAGGGGGAGTGGGAGAGGGAGAAGCAGGCTTCCCACTGAATAAGGAGCCCGAATGTGGGGCTCAATCCCAGGACCCTGGGATCATGACCTGAGCCAAAGGCAGATGCTTAATGGCTGAGCCACCCAGGCGCCCTAAGAATTCTTTCTCTATTGACGACAGTCCCATAGAATACACAATCATAAACTCCACTGACCATCAAAGCCAGACAATGTAGAGGTGTCCCCTGGAAGTAGTGACAGAAATCAGGATGCTAGATTGAGGTATGAGTTCCTTTCTGGATGACTGTGATTATTATAGACCCATGGAATAAGGAATGCAAGATCTTCTGTCCTCCCCAGCCAGTCAGTCAAGAGGCATCCCTTGGGCAGCAGCTGCAAAGGTTGAGCACCAGACACATGTAAAAACTCTTCTGGGAGATACTGTGCTCTGGAGCATGGCAAAAAGAGAGCAAGAAGATAAAATCTGCCAGTATCCATCCCCAGAAAGTGTTCAGTGACTCTTAGATGTGTGTGTTAAATTAGATGCCTACCCCAATGCTTTAATATAAGTATGTGAACCTCCTTCACTTTAAATCTGGGCACAACTGGCTGCCTCTGAGCTGGACCATGCAGCAGGTAGTCTGAGTGCATGGGGCTTTTAAGAGTTCTCTCCCAGATCACTATAATCTTACGGGTCTCCGGACATGAGCCCCATTGGTTTTCAAAGTAAGATGTCTTGGGGGTTCATCTCTCAAGATGAAGTCCTAAAAGTTGAGGTGCCCAGCGTGGGGTTTGAACCCTTTCCTCCTCAGAAAGATGCTCTGGGTTTTGAGTTTTCTCCTAGTGTGGGTCACCATACCAGAGGTGGTGTTTATGGCAAGATTGTTTCCCATCTTCTCCTACCTACTTTGATATGGTTTTCTTTTTATGTGCCTAATGTGTGGTCATCACTCAGCAAGTCTCTAGGCTTTTTTCTAAGAGGAAAATGTTCCATATATAGCTGTAAACTCAGTGTGTCCTGTGGGAGAAGATGACGTCAGGAACTTCCTACATCACCAGTTTGAACCAGAAGCAACTAGAAGGCACAGAGCTGAAGAATACAGTAGCAGAATTAAAAAATATACTAGAGGGGTTCAATAACAGACAAAATTAAGCAAGAGAAAGGATTAGTCAACTCAAAGACAGTGAAGCTGACCAATCAGAGCAAGAAAAAGAAAAGAATGGGAAAAAAATGAAGATAGCTTAAGGAGTTAATGGGACAACATCAAACTAACTAACATTTGCATAATTGGGGTCCCAGAAGAAGAGAGAGAAAGGGGCAGAAATCTTGTCTGAGGCAATAATGGCTGAAAACTTCCCTAACCTGGGGGAGGAAATAGACTTCCAGATCCAGGAGGCCCAGAGAGTTAAACAAAAAACATTAACCCAAAGAGACCCACACCAAGGCACAATATAATTAAAATGTCAAAAGTTAAAGGTAACAAGAGAATCTTAAAAGCAGCAAACAAAAAACAAAAAACAAAAAACAAAAAACTTGTCACATACAAGGGACTGCCTCTCATAAACCTAGAAGATTTTTTAGCAGAAATCTTGCAGGTTAGAAGAAGGTGGCATGAAATATTCAAAATGCTGAAAGAAAAAACTTCCAATCCAGAATACTTGACCTGGTAAAGTTATCATTCAGAATTGAAGGAGCAAAAAGAAGGTTTCCAGGCAAGCAAAAGCCAAAGGAGCTCATCACTACCAAATCAGTCTTACAAGAAATATTAAAGGAATTTCTTTAAGCTGAAAATTCAGAGTGCTGTTAGTAACAAGAAAACATGTGAAAGAATAAATTTCACTAGAAAAATAAATAAAGTAAAGGTAGTGGATTAATCACTTATAAAGCTAGTATGAAGGTTAAAAGACAAAAGCAGTAAAAGTCACTATGATTATAATAATTAATGGATACACAAGATAAAAAGATATAAAATGTGACATTAGAAATATAAAATGTGGGTGGGAGGCACAGTAAAAATGTTGAGCTTTAGAATGGGATCAAACTTAAGTTATCAACTTAAAATAAACAGTTATAGACATAAATTGTTATAAATAAGCCTCATGGTAACCACAAAGCAAAAACCTATAGTAAATACACAAAAGACAAGGAGAAAGGAATATAAGCATATCATCAAAGAAAGTCATCAAACCACAAGAGAGTAAGAGAAGAAGAAAGAAGCAGAGAGGAACTACAAAACACCAGAAAAAAATTAACAAAATATCATTAAGTATCTACCTATCGATAACTGCTTTAAATATGAATGGACTAAATTCTCCAGTCAAAAGATATAGAGTGGTTTAATTGATAGCAAAAAACAAACAAACAAACAAAAAAGCCCAAAAAACTTATCTGTGTGTTACCTACCAGAGACTCGCTTTTGATGAAAGGACACACAGAGACTGAAAGTGAAGGGATGGAAAAAGATATTCCATAAAAATAAAAATGAAAAGAAAGCTAGAGTAGCTATACTTATATCAGACAAAATAGACTTTAAAACAAAGACTGTAATAAGACACAAAGAAGGGCATTACATAATGATAAAGGGGTCAATCCAACAAGAATATATAACATTTGTAAATATTCAGGCATCCAAAATATGTAAAGCAAATATTAACACCCCTAAAGAGAGAAATTGATGACAATGCAATAATAGTAGGGGCATTTAGTACCCCACTTAAATCAATGGGTAGATCACCCAGACAGAAAATCAAAGCAGGAACATCAGCCTAAACAACATGTTCATCCAGATGGACTTAATAGATACATACAGAACATTCCATCCAAAAGCAGCAAAATACACATTCTTCTCAAGTACACATGGAATATTTTCTAAGATAGATTGTATGTTAAGCCACAAACAAGTCTTAATAAACTTAAGATAAATGAAATCATATCAAGCATCTTTTATGAATGATATGAAACTAGAATTTAATTACACAAAAAAACCCGGAAAATTCACAAATATATAAAGATTAAACAAAATGCTACTGAACAACCAATGGGTCAAAGAAGAAATCAAAATAGAAATTAAAAAATACCTGGAGAAAGCAAAAATGGAAATGTCACATACAAAAATTTGTGTGATGCAGCAAAAGCATTTTGATGAGGAAACCTCCTAGTGATAAATGCCCACCTCAAGCAACAAGAAAAATCTCCAATAAACAACCTAACTTTACACCTCAAGGAAGTAGAAAGAGGACAAAGCCCAAAGTTAGTAGAAGTAAAGAAATAACAATGATTGGAGGAGAAATAAATGAAATAGAAACTAAAAAGACAATAAACAAGATCAATGAAATGAAAAGCTGGTTGTTTGAAAATAGAAACAAAATTGACAAGCCTTTACCTAGGCTCACCAAGAAAAAAAGAGAGGGCTTAAATAAAAAATGAAAGAGGAAAAGTTACCACTGATATCGAAGAAATACAAAGGATTGTAAGAAACTATTATGAACAATTATATGCCACCAAATTGGACAACCTAGAAGAAATGGATAAATTCATAGAAACATACAGCTTATCAAGACTGCCTCATGATGAATAGAAATATGAAAAGGCATAGCAAAGAGATTGAATCAGTAATCAAAAACCTCCCAACAAACAAGAGTCTAGGACAAGAC